GCTATTTTGGCTAGAAAAAATACTACAAAGTATAGAAAGAAAGGGAGATCCAACTTTAGTCCCTGCCATATTCATTGTTTTGTTACTGAATCTATACAAATTGCGTATAAATAGTAGTATCTGTTCAAATTTGAAAAAAAGATGGTGTGCTTAACTTTGTATCATGGAAAGCTTTTTGTCAGCCTCAGTGTAATTAAGGATTCACTGAAATATACAATTTAACCAGAGGTGCCTCAACTTTTGCATGCAATTTTATAGTCTTTTTTCCTATTTCTTTTTTAAAAAATCTTTAAGATAGCCTTAAAGGTTAAGGGTACCTTTTTCTCCAAACATATTTGGTCTTGGCTTGATAGAACAAGACCTGTCAAGATCTAAGATTGTTTACTGCAAGAAACTACAAACTACTCTTGTGTAGAAGAACTGCTCTCCCAGCAACTTTTTGTAAGCTTAAAAACACTGGCTAAGTTAAGAGGTAGTTTCTAATCCCCTCCATTCCTGCTTCCTATTCTCTCTAAACTTCAACAGCCTGTAACCTTTTTTTGACTCCTTAGCCTCCAGCATGAGTGGGAAACTGCAGAGGTCATGGGAGTATTTTCTTCAAAAGTGGAGCCAACTTTTAATGTACTTTCAACTCAAGCCAGGACCACACAAAAGAATAGGATAGCTTCCTCTGAACTGAGGTGACCTGGGGAACATCCTATTCAGTCATCTTCAGAGCTGAACTGAACTTCTGATCCCTGGGATTTGACATAAATGGCAAATATCAACAAAATCAAGATTGATGTTCACAAAAATGCTACAGGATCATGAGTTCTTGGCTAGCTTTTGCTAGAGCAAAACTAAGAGAGAACACTAAGCTTTCATTTCCGAATTACAATCTAGAATAAGCTGCTTCACAGAGGTAGCTGCAAAACCATGTATTTTTGTCTTAGAGTCTATTAGAATAACATTGGTATGTGCATCCGTATACCATCATCAAGGAAGACAAAGAAATACACCCTTAATAGTGACAGTCTAGCTTGGCATGAGACTACAGTAGAATGGTTCTTCAGCCACTATGAACATATTTCTATTCTATGCTTATAAATGAATATGCACTAACCTGAATACTTTAATGTTCAATTTTCACACTATTGCCTTTAATAGGAGAGATTAACATTATGCATGACTCACTTACTGCAATCCTATATTCCTTACTTAGGAATAAACCCCAAGAGATCTGAACTTTAGGAATATGTGTCTAGCAGGATGATCTACAAATACTTCATTTTGGACCGAGTGACAATATATAGCAACTAAGCACGGTCCACTACTCTGTCACCTGAGCTTGCAGACAAGAAAGCTATTCATCTATGATAATGCAGTTTGGAAGAAGAGCAGAGAATAAAATTTTCATATAGGCAAAAACTTTCCTAGGCAGGGTGGGCTGATATGGAAAAGAAGTAAGATAGTGAAAGTTGAGGAGATTTGGGGGAAGAAGAAAAGATGATGATTGGAAACCAAAGTGGATTTTAGGCAGTTTGAATTGCTGAAGGCATGCTGGTTCCAGAAGAGTTTGGGGCAAGGGTTCTAAAGTGTTCCTGGGTGGAGTCCAGGGAAGACTACTGAAGAAGAGAGATAGCCAGTAAGGGATGCATCTTCTCAAGGCAGATGCAGTTAGGGCTGAAGAAGAAGATCAAGTCCTGCCAGTTTGAGAGACCAGGCCAGCCAATGGAATGAACGCTCTCTTATTCCTAACTGGGAAGGAGCTTGTTGTACATCTGAACAGCCTCAAGATTAAGCCAACTACTATTACTCTTAGAAAAATCAGTTAGTCGAGGATACACTGGCACAAGCAGTAATAAATCACCACCACATTCCTATTCCTTTATTAGCTGAAGCAGAGAAAGGAGGAAGGTGTGAGGGAGAAGAATTCATGCTTGTTTAACTGTCTTAATTGGATTCTGTGTAAATAGCTTTATGTGCCTGGAAATGAAGGTAAGAAATCAAAAGGAGATTTTGTGTGCCCTGTGCTGAATAATTTCCCATGGATCCAAAGCTCTTATGACAGACTGGACTGTGCCTTTGGAGATCAATTAAGCTGAAAATATAGTTGTGCCATAAATCTATAATTAGTTTGTCTACTCTGTTTGTAGTGTTGCTGTTACTAACCAGTGTGGCTTAGAAGCTTTTGAGTTCACAATAAATATTGTTAGTTCATTCCTACAATATAGAGAAGCTTCTGTTCAGAGAATAGTATGCTTATTATATATTATATTCTCTACAAAAATATGAATCTTTGTTAGCACAGACTAAAATATGAACAATGACAAACCTTTTCCTAAATCACAAATTGCCAAAATAATATATTTCCTGTATGACATTTGAAAATACTGCATAAATCTATTGTTTTAATTTACCACTTTTACAAGTAAAAGTTTTGCTTTTTCCTTCCCATGAACTGCAAATTGACATTTCCCACAGCCTAAGGACAAAATGAAAGCAAAGTTACAGTATATCAGCAATCCTAGAGAGTTTTTATTAATTTTCACATAGGTGCTCTTACATTTTTAATAGTAATAAAAACCATGTGACTATTGCATTTTATTAGGCTCTATGCACCCATAAATCTAAAGCAAGAGGTTTTTTTCCCCCCTAATTAAGAACTGGTCATAAATTAGAGTAGAAATAATTTAGTGTGCATTGCTTTAAAATAAATTTAGAACTAAGATAAATTTCAATAAATTATAATACTGACTGACTGCTATGTTATTATAGAAGTAAGCAACATAGTACACATCAGCTGTTCTGGACTGTAACTCCTATGATTCCTTGCTGTATACCATAATGAGAGTTGGAACCCAAAACCTAGGAGTAGAAGGCCACTAAATAGCCTATATTTGCTGTATAGTGTCCTTCAAAGAAGAGGAACATGTAACTCTTTTGATATTGGTGAGGTACAAATCTCAGTTCCACCAATCAATTTGGCCCGTGATCAAAGATTCTGGGAGTTACATTGATAGTGACAGGTTCTTTGGACTAAATAATCATTTAATTGACTGATGGTATTCAACAGGTCAAATCCAGTGAAGATTCTGCAGAACTGGGTAGTGGCAGTTCTCCTCCTCCTCCTCTGTTCCTACTTTTTTTTCAAAAACATTCCTGCAGGTCAAGATAACCTTTGGCATTATGCCATGGCACCAATGGGAAATTCAAGGAATTTGTTGATGAACTTTTTCATTTGTGCAAGGTATCTCTAAATCCAAATCAATAGCATTAAGCATATTTCTTGTTTTTACTATGCCTAATTGAATATTCTGAGTTTGTAAAAATGCAGAGATTTGAAATATTGTCTATATGATATGGGTATGACCATTTTGTTTCAACAGAAATACCACATCTCAGGTCAAGCTCTTCTATTATCTCAGCCTGTTTTCTTGTTAAGCAGGAGCTTTTTCTCCAAGTGAAGACTGTAAATGTCTATACTGCAACTATTTGAATGATGCCACTAATTCTGAATAGCCATTTGCGCAGCGTGCATATTTTTGCCCTTCATTGACTAGGTGACTAGCCAAATGTGGCCTTTTTAAACATTTGACTGAATATAATCTGTACTCTGTAATTGTTTACAGCTATTTTCCTGTTAGCAATGAATTTTCTCTTCCTCAGACATTAAAAACAGCTTTCAACAGACTGCAAATGAATACATTTGCTGGTTCCATTTACCTGTGTTTTTACCATGATTATTTTTCATAGCAATGCTGCATTTCCATAGCACAATTAAACCGTTTATTCTGGGCTATAAAAAAATCGGAAAGCTTTCTGAAGTCTCATATGCTTCAATGTTCTGAAACAACACTGGAATAGGAAGTACGTTTCAGTCATTCGTCTTTCTAATACTGATATTAGTGTGCTGTCAATATACTGATATTAATATGTTAAGCAGTGCAATCCTAGGAATATCTCCTAAAGGTTAGATCTACTGAATTCTGTGGGATTTATTCCCAAGTAAATAGGTTTTGCAGATCAGTGATTAACACTCCTTTAACTCTTGCTTGACACTGTTCTGACGTACATATTTCCAAGATGTCTAGTTATGGCAATGACCCCAAATTCTTCTAGGCCTACTTTAATTTAACACATATAAAATATTAGTACCTATCACAAAAGTGATGGATCTTACAAAGAGTCAACATTTTTTGATAGTTTTCAATAGTGATGGACAGGGTTGTGCAGATAAAGAATATAAATAGGTGTTGAGAATAGCTATTCATTTCTAAAATATTTTTAGTTTTAGTTGAGTTAATCTCATTTACAAATCAACTCATAAATAATGACAACTCGTATGCACAAATGCATCAGCAAGAACTTTCCAAATGGTTCTAAGTAATTGATTTTTACATTTTAATGATTCAGAGTAGTTCTGGTTTTATTTCTGAAGTTGCCTCTAGTGCAAAATTGCTTCATGTGCCTTAGCATATACACTTCAGGTTAGCTGACCTTGATATTCCTTCAAGAAATTAAAAACAAATCACAAAGAGATGATATTGCTAGCAGTTTAAAACTAGTGCAGCGTTTTGTTCCGTTACTCTCCAAAAATCCTGATGGAAAGTCAGGACTTAATCAACAAAGGGAGTGAAAAAATACAATAGGTTTTCAATAATCTCATCTAGGGCCCTAGAGCTCAGTTATAATGGTAAAGAGTTGGGAGAAACTATTTTGTTATGGCCCTCAAAAGAGCTGTAGCTAACACTTGCCTAAATTAATTGTTCCTAGCTACAGCCACATAAGAGTTTGGACATGCATCTCCTACTAACCAGGTAAAACAAGATTATTTTTTAATTTGTAATTCTTATTCCACATACCTCAAAATTTAAGTACTATAGAGGTTTAGAAAGGTAAAAAATTAAAAAGAAAGCCATTTCACTTTTTGGTTTAGTATTTCCATTTTGCAGTATAACCATAGTTAATGACTCTGGTGCATTAGTTCATAATTTTATTTCATTTTATTTATTTTATTTCATTTTATTTATTTTTTTAAAATAGGGCTTTAACTTGAAGATGCCTCTTCATTTTTATTCAAGCATGCAACAAAATAAAGATCAGGGAAACATATTGTTATTTTTCTTTTATCACCCAAATAATCTGAAGCTAAAACTAGGAAACCCATCCCGTTTTAGACATTATGCAAAGACCGAGCTCTCTGGAAAAAGTTTTAATGCTGGGATGGGGGAAGGAAAAAAGAAGAAGAGGTCAACAGGACAAATGAGTGCACCAGTGAAATTGCTAAAGGACCAGGTTAGGGACAGATCATCATGGAGGAACTCTATCTATGTAGTCTGCAAGAGTCAGTATCAACTTGATGGCATGTAATCATTCAATCAAAACTAGCAAACCTAATAATATTTTGAGAATCTAAGTAATGTCTCTAAGAAGACATAACAAAGGCAAGAAACAAAGATATCAGAAGCAAGTAATACACACTTGGTATATCTTAATCCAGAGGTGGACAATTATGGCCTCATTATGACCTATGGACTTCAACTCCCAGAATTCTTGAGCCAGCCATGCTTTACAGGTTGTAAAAGGGCCATAGTTGCCTACCCCTGTGTTAATCCACTATATGAATTTCAAGTTACCCAACCACTTCAGGGATGGACTAAGCCACCTTCCCTATTGGCTCTGAGTTAATCCTCTATATACCAATGGAGAATGAAATAAGATTAAATAGCACTTCACAAATTATTAATCCTGGCAATGTCCAATTAATTAGAACATCTTTGTAGCAATCTAATGGGGCATTTTGACTCACGTTTCTATAGTTTTGATTCTAAATTACAGCCTGTAGACATATTCCACATATTAACAAGTCTAATTTTGTTTTCTTTTGGAAATAATGCTATTTGAGTTCCTCAGTGATAGCATCCATTAATGCCTCTTCTGCTTGCAGAAAAATTCTACTGGATCCATCGTAAATCAGAATGCCTGGTCATACTTCATAATTTGAACGACAGAAAGAAGTTACATTTTGAATGATGCAGCAAATAGCTCAAGGTCAGATACCATCACTGATTACAACAAAGTGTATCTTGTTACCCAAAGCCTTCTCAACCTTTCACTTTCCAGATGTTGGAACTGAAATTATGAGAACTGCAGCCCAACACATCTGGAGCTATCAATCTGCAGAAAGTTGGTCATGAGATACGTAAATGATAGGCACACTGGAATTAAGCAGCCAGCTTAATAGATTTCAAATTGCAGCTACTGTATATGCAGGCAACACTTACTACTAGGCCTGGCTTTTGATGATTTACGTCATTAAATATTTAAATTGTAAAACTTGCTTAATAATTTTTCTGTTTTGGAACAAAGCTTCACTGCTAATGAAAAAAAGAAAAAAATGCTCTACCTGTTTTTTTCACCAGTTTGGCACTAAGTTCCTATTTCAGTTTGCTGGCTTCATTAATATCCTAGCCTTATCCTCTAAATACCAAGTTTAGAAATGCTAAAGTCTTATATCAGAATCTTCTAAGCTAAAGATACATTTTATACCAGTTTTTGATGTCTGAACTGCACAGAGTTATGACCCTAAACTAGAAACAAGAATTAATTCAGCCCATCCAGAAACAAGAATTAATAAAGGGGACATTTTTCAATGAGCATGGACCTCAAAAGTTATCTACTGGCTAGATTTTTAAAAAGAAACAAAGATCATTCAGAGGCATGCACACAAACCTTATAAACACGTCAATTGGAAAAGCTCAATTGTTTAATGCTAATGATATAGCAGGATGTATACTAATGGGAAGGGACAGTAGTTGTGGACCCTCCTTGTTTTGAGTCAACAACTACAAACTGTCAGCTACCCGCCTTTGTTCCTTCTGCAGTTTAACTAAGTTTTAACTAAGCAGGTGTAGCAATATGAAGGAGACGATGCTAGAATGAATAGTTACACTGATGGCAATCCCATGCCAGTCTCAAGTCTCATATCTTAGCTGCCCAAATCCAAATGCAATTCTAAGCTATTAGTGAAAACTAAGGGAATTGCAGACTCTGAAGCAGGAGTCACAGTCCTTTATAACTGAAGGATTTTCTAAGCTGAGATCATTAGAGATCTAGAAAATAAAAGAGATCCTTTTCATTAAAAAAATAAAATAAATTGAATTGTTGACTTTTGTTTGCTGTGTTTAGCAAAAAGAGTGGTTTTTCTACTCTCATTTTTTGGATGTACAACTTTAACACTAATATACTTGCTACAAACGTCTACTGTGTTGAATGTAAAGGTTAAATGAAGAAGTTCGCCAAGTGAGAGGCAGAGTGTGGTATTACTTTTCTCTTTCTTTCTCTTTCTTTTTTCCCCCTTTCTTTCTCTTTTTATTGGTCTTCCACTTTGTTGCTGCTTTTGAACTTAACCACCATGACTGTAATGTTGTCAGGGCATCCCCTATAAAAAGACTGGAGCACTATACTCTTGGCTCCAAAATGTGGCTCATCTAAACGTTCTTTGATGAACCGCACCGCTTCCTCATTACTGAAAGCATCCCAGAGCCCATCGGAAGCTAAGATCATGAACTCTGGCTGGAGTTTGTCCAGGTCAAAGGTCAAGATATCTGGATCAGGGATGACAACATTCAGATTTTTCAGCGGGTAATCCCCAAGAGAACGAGACATGGCCAGGATCCCCTGAACACGCCAGGAACCATTGAAACTGATGAAGCCACCTGGAAGAGAGAAGGAGAGAAAAAAAATGATTAAATTATGTTTAAGGGAAATTGTTCTCAGAAGCTTCCATGACACTAGGTTATTAAATCAGTTAGGAAAACCAAGTAACGTCACCATTTTTTTTCTTAAGAAAATCCTTTCTTATAATGTACCAGTATGTCTGTTGCCAAGACATAGGAAGGAAATCTTGCTCATCAGTTGATCCTTGTCTTTTTCAACATAGGGAAAGGATTCCACAACTTAAGGCAAACATAGCCAGAAAACCATAACTACATGCCCCTGTCTACCTCAAAATCACTAGGTTTTTTGAACCAGCAGACACATCTGAAATTTTGAGAGCATACCATGGTCACAAAAGACCCTTTTACCATGCAATAAACTGGTGAAACTGCTGTCTGCATCTCAAAACTACTAGGATTATAAGGGATCTGGAGACCATACCCTATGAGGAATGGTTAAGGAATTGACCAGATTTAGGTTACAAAAGAGAAGACTGAGAGATGAAAACAGTTTGTGTGTGTGTGTGTGTGTGTGTGTTTATGTATATGCACCTACCTTCTATTCAGTCTGCTTTGACTCTTGATAACTACAAGGATAAGTCCATGCTATTATCTAGGCAACATTTTGATAAATGGCTTGCCATTATTGTCTTGGTTGGGCTAAAAGTTTAATGATTGGCCCAACATCACTATCTAAGGCTGGTGCCTATAAATATAAAAAAAAGAAAAACAGGAAGAGGAACCTGTTCTCTGCTTGAAGTAAAGAAAGGGTTGAAATTAAAGCAGATGCAAGATGAATATTATAAGGATTTTTTCATTTGTGTTGCAAAGGAATCATCCTTCTAAAATTGAACCTTGTCATAGGTGGTTTTTGAAAAGGGGCTAATTTTGAAACTAAAACTAAGTTGGGATGGTTTAGTGCAGGGGTCCCCAACCCCCAGTCCATGGATGGGTACCGGGCTGCAGCATGCCTGAAACCGGTCCGTGTAAACAAGTAAAGCCCCATCCATGAGATGCAGGCAGTACATGAAACCAGAAAAACCTCTCTCCACAGAACCGGTCCCTGGTGCTCAAAAGGTTGGGGATCTCTGGTTTAGTGGATTTGTACACTGAGCAAAAGCTTAGATCTCATCCCTGAAAAACTCTATAAATCTCCCACAACTCATACATGTTGTAATTTTAAATTTTAACAAATGGAACACAATAAATGAGTTAGCACAAAAAGCTTGACAAATGCTAAGGGAGATGTTATTGGACTCACTTGTACTTATGTGACCCAGCTTACAATCCAGTGCTGAAGTATTTAGCTGAAAAGATGGGCTCTGTAGTGGGACTTCCACTTTCCAAAACTCTGGATCCTGATTTATCTGTTTTCAGGAAGTTTGGAGAACACTCTGGCTTTTGAATTATATTTGGCCCACAATCCCTAGTGCCGGTGTTCCTTCCTATACTAATTTTGTCTCTTTACAGAGTAAAAAGAAAATGGCACTATTAGAAAAACAAAAACATATTCAGAACATATCCTTTTCTATCCTGATACATTTTATGTTTTGAATCTTATACCTGATGCAGAAAGTACAGGAAATATCCAAACGTTGCCACAAGGAGTTAAGATTAAATCAATATCCTTGCTGTTCCTATTGAAATGGTAAGACACATGAATTTCTGTAGGCAAGTTCATCCATATATATGACAAATTGCTGATCAGGAAGAAAATTCAACCTTCATCTCTGTTGTTTGCAATATAAAGGACATTTTCTTGCCTGTGCTCAGGCAATCTTCCCCTCATTTTAATCATGCACTGTGTATCCCTCTGGGATAATTCAAGAAGAGGTACACACTCATTTGCAAAGATTTATAATGGAACTGGGATATCAGACCAGTCTTATAAAAGTCAAAATCTCACTCCAGGGCACGAAAAAAAGAAAAGCGCATACAAGCAAAAACTTATCTTTCTCATCAAGAACATATGGTTGAACAGGAGCCGTAATGATTCAGAAAAAAAGCTCTTGTGAAAATAATTATCCTTCACTTTTGGATTTACAGGGGGAAATAGAAGAAACAGGTAAGGAAAAGCCACATTTCAAAGCAATGGGACACAGTGCTTGGGCTGGGTACCACTGAAATACTGTAAGAACAGTACCTGGGGTGAGAGGATTATTAGCAATACAGTCATCAATAATACCTTGCTCAATAGTAGTAACTGTGAGAGGGATCTCGGAGTCCTAGTGAACAATCACCTAAATATGAGCCAGCAGTGTGCTGCAGCTGCCAAAAAGGCCAACACAGTGCTAGGCTGCATTAACAGAGGGATAGAATCAAGATCACGTGAAGTATTAATACCACTTTACAATGCTTTGGTAAGGCCACACTTGGAATACTGCATCCAGTTTTGGTCACCGCGATGTAAAACAGATGTTGAAACTCTAGAAAGAGTACAGAGAAGAGCAACAAAGATGATTAGGGGACTAGAGGCTAAAGCATATAAGGAACGGTTGCTGGAACTGGGTATGTCTAGTTTAATGAAGAGAAGGACGAGGGGGGACATGATAGCAGTGTTCCAATATCTCAGGGGCTGCCACAAAGAAGAGGGAGTCAAGCTATTTTCCAAAGCACCTGAAGGCAGGACAAGAAGCAACGGGTGGAAACTAAGCAAGGAGAGAAGCAACCTAGAACTAAGGAGAAACTTCCTGACAGTTAGAACAATTAACCAGTGGAACAACCTGGCTCCAGAAGCGGTGAATGCTCCAACACTGGAAGTTTTTAAGAAGAGACTGGACAGCCATTTGTCCGAAATGGTATAGGGTTTCCTGCCTGAGCAGGGGGTTGGACTAGATATCATCATCATCATCATCATCATCATCATCATCATCATCATCATCATCATCATCATCATCATCATCATTATTTTCATCATCAGTTATTCAAGGAAGTTCCATCTAGCTCTGAAACACTCCAACCAGCACCTTTCTTAGGTATCAAAAGGAGAACAATAAATCCCCCTGGTACATTTTACAACTCTGTCTTAATTGCAAACAAAACAAAACAAAACAATCTTGTGCGAACATTCCCGTAAACTTCAATCCAGTTCAAATTTTGAACTGGCCCTTGGAGCTCAATTGGAGCCTCTGAGATTGTTTATTAATGCTCACACAGGTGGTCCTCATTTTAGCAACTGCTTCATAGAACGACCTTTCCTAGTTATGATGAAAGCATAACCGGAACTAAGTGTTGGTTTTCAGCAAAACCGTCATAAAATGCAGTCACATGTTGCCAAGAGCCCAAAGTGGTGTCATGTGACCACCGGGGGAGGCTGACTGTAAGAACCTAATATCTGGGCCATGAATTACCTTTTTTAGGTAGGTCGTAACTTCGGTCACTAAGCAACCGTTATACCTGTAACAGATACTACCTGTACTTTGGTCCCATCTGCTGATTTATATTATCTAAAATAATGTTATATAAGGAAGAAGAAAAAAGAAAGGAAAAAAAAACCCTCCTTAGCCCAGTATGTGAAAACAAAGATATTTTGGCAAAGTTTTTGCTTCCAGCTCAGCTGGCCATTTCCACTTGCCTGCTGCCTTCATTGGGAGATAAAAGAAGTGAAGAGGCAAAAGCCTGAACCGATAGAATCTCCATTGTTCTACAGTGAGAAAAAGCTTTATTGTTTTTCTAAAAAAAAACCTTCCATTCCTTTATTTCTCTCTTTCTCCCCTACAGTCCTGCCTGTTGCTTATTTTCTGGGGGGTGGGGGTGGTTGTATCGTCTTTTATTACTGGTTAATCTTTTTTTTCCCTTTTCTCTTTCGCTATAGATTAAAATGCTTTTTTTTTTTTTTTAAGTGGAAGGATTTACTGTCTCTGAGTAAAGGGTTAGGGTTCACCGCCTTTAGTGTATGGTAACAGAAAGGAATTAATGTTCATTTGTAAAGTGCAAATTAGTCTTCTACAATTATAACTTCTCAGAATTGGGTTCGACAGTTTCCCCAAGAACTTCACAGCAACACCACCCAACACACAAGGAAACTGAAGCAAGAACGAATTAGGGAAATGGAACAAGGTTGTTTCTTTTGCCAAACTTTTATTTATTATTTATTCATTTTAAACATGTCTGCATTGCTTGCCATTAAAAGAATTCTCATAGCAATTTACAATTAAACCCTTTTTAACTGGTAATTGCTTTAAGAAAACTGACTTTAATTTTTTACTTTTGATTTTAATTGCACTGATTCTATTGTCCTTTTTATTTTGTATTCTAAAACTGTTGAAAACTACCTTGAATGTTTATAGAAATGGAAAAGGGCAAAACCAAGGATAAATACAAATAAAAATAAACTGGGTATAATCTGCACTTTTATTTTTACAACTATGTCAGCTTTTATTATCCCTATGCTCTCAACTACCTTCCAAACCCACACATATTTTATTGAGCTTACTTTATGCTATTTTACATTAGTAAAATGCCACAATGCCTAAAGCCACAGAGTAAAGAACAATGGATGATGGCTGGATGATTTGATCTCAATAATGATCATAAAAATACAGACAAATATAAGAGGAAAGGTATATACTTCCTTGTTCAGACTTTACAGTTTGCAAAAATATATTTGAATACATTTTCAAGCTCCACAATATGCTTTTTATATTCCTTTTTCTCTCCTTGTATCATTTTTACAGAAAAGAGATGGCTGATGGAATCAACTCTATTATCCTAATCTTTGAGGCCAACAGATATTCCTAGGAAGGTGTTTTTCTGAAATCTTATAACTTAGAACAATGGCTCTCAACCTGTGCTCCGCAAACCCCTGGGGGGGGGGGGTTGCAATATCATCACAGGCGGTCCGCGTAGCCTTGAAGAAATATTATGATTTAAATCTTGAGTTTTTGGTGATCGTGGCCATGATCCGTGGCCACAAAAGGTATTTAAACGGGCTCCGTGGTGAAATAAAGGTTGAGAACCACTGACCTAGAAAATTTAGTGTTTCCTAGTGTTGGATAAGAATAATTTTCTAAGATTAAAATGTACCCTCACCAATCACATTTAGAAAACACCCTACATATCTCAAGTATTCTTAAAAATCCTCATATTAAACAAATATTGTGTATGTTAAGATGCTGTTGAAGAAGGAATAATTTCTGATTTAGGCACAGCTGCATATTATAAAAGAACTCAAGCTGAAAGTAAATGAAAGTTCTTCCTGAGTAAACTTAATTTATATAAGGAACAGACATTTTACAGCTCTAGAGCCTAGTAAGCTCTCAGTGAAATGGCTGCAATGCACACTCAGAACTGAATAGAAAACCGCATGTCCTGATTGTATGTCTAAAAAAAAATCACTAGAATATTGTAATTTTCTCTTTGGAGAAAACCAAAAATAACATGTCCTTCAATGTCCAGTACAATTTAAAATTGGAAATATTCCCTACTGGCTAATGTATTCAATCTAGCATTTCCATCTGGTGACCAACTTTGTGGCTGAAAAAAGTAGAACAGTTTTGGATTTTTCTGCTTTGTTCACATCTCATTTTTGGAAACATTTTGCTTGATGAAGTGTTATGGAGAATTCCAAAACTTTTATATTATTTTGTGCCATTTTGGGTGGCCTCAGCCAAAGGATGGATGGATTTTTCTAACTTAATCAAAAGATTGCTCATAACACCTTTCCAAATAGGAAAATATACATTTTCCAAAAAACAAACAAACATTAAACTAATAGCACATTAAAATATACATGATTTTAGAATGAGAGATAGGTACTTCCCCCCCCCCCCCCAATCTTTCAATACTATAAATTGAGATCATTCAATGACCTTGTTTCCAGCCAGGCTGTTCATCACTTGTGGAAATGGCCAATTTGGGTTACGAGATATTGTGAAGATGGCACTTAACATGAATTTTTAAAATGCAATAGGACCTGTGCAGAATATATTGTAGCCTAAAGAATTCCAGTCATTCCTTCATTCCAAGGCTACTGAATCTTGGACAGTTTGCATTAGTATTTTTGTATTTCCATAAACCCATCTTCCTTCCTGTGTGTGGAAATTAGTATTACTTTTTTGAGCCATGTAACAATTCAGACATGAAGACCTGAGTTACAGTGCAGCAGGTGAAGTCTTCAGTGTTTTAACATCCTGTTGCCTCTATTTAGGTCTACTATGCAGATCCTTTGATTGCATTTGTATGACTTGTAGGGTGTTGCATGACACGTTAAGGATGCAATACTAAATACTGATATTAGAGTTACCATGAAAATGAGGCTATGTTCAGAAACTGCAGATAATAAAGGCACCAGGAATTATGTATAGTGAAGCTAACCCAACCCCTTTACCGATGAACCCTCACTCCCAGAACAAATGCATGCTGGGAAGCCAGACTCCATTTCCTTTAGCATTTGGAGAGAAGCAGAGGCACCAGGAAGAATCCAACCTGATTTGTGGCACATGGTCATTTGAAGATAAAACCCACATCCCATACACACAGCATCGCTGGTGAGATTTAGATTGATCTATATTTGTTCATTGTTATGTCCCCCAGTAACGCAATACTGCTTATTTTGTATTTGGATTTTTATTATATGTATTTCTATTTTTTTTCCAGTTTCACCCATCCTGTTCCTTTAATAAAGCATTCACATCTATGCACACGGTCTGTTTTATTGGAGGATAAGTAAGTTTAGCTGCATGTCAAGCTGCACACACAGTAATGTGTAGTAAGGACAGATCTGTTACAGCTGATGGAAATCCATCAGCTTGACTTTGGAAGATGGAAAGACAAGGGTAGACATTATTTCCACCTTTGCTCACAACAATTTGTTTAATACTTTTTCTCTCCTCTTCTATAGTGTTCATCTTTTATTTTGCCACAATTCTCCAGACAATTCATTACCATCACATTGCAATAAATAAAATGATGAAAGAATGGGGAAAAAATGAACAAATATAACATTCTGCCATGATGTAAAACAAAGAAACAAACCGCACATCCTATATTAGAAACTTACCAGCTCTTTTAATCCTCTTTCTTTCTTTCAGCTGATAAGGCTTGTGGTCATGAGACAAAGGAATAGCATTTCCATCCTTATCGCACAAAACCCCCCTTGAATCTCCAACGTTGGCCACCGTGAGCTCTTTATCGGACAGTAAAGCAATCAAACACGTTGTTCCTGAAAAGGAAAGAGGAAGACGGAAGACCATTAAGACAACTGAGTGAAAAATCAGTACTGCTTCCCTTATATTCTTTTCCTCATCTACCTTATCTGCATTCGGGAGCAATCAAGAATGGCAGCTGCATTTGTATCTGAACAAAACATCTAGTACTAGGATGACAGACTATTTCATGACACTGATCAAATCTGACAGACAATTTCTTCTTTCCACAATATATTTTTTTCTGTATCTGATATTTGGTTGGCATTTCAGGGGCTGGTTCTCATCTAGCTTGTCATTCAGAAAGCTTGCAAGGGAAAAAAATGGCCTCTGGCCCCAATGGCATATATTGTATATATACATTCATCCTTATTCCATTTGTTTTCCTCCCACTACGAATTACATGATAAGTGCAAAAATGCTTGGTAAAACATACAAAGGGGAAGCCTTACTGTGCACAGCAAATGTCATTGAAAAGCAGATTCCATATTACAAACCACATTCCCAGTGAAAAACTGATGTCGGTCTTCTCCCACTGGGCAAGAGTAATAAGGGAAAAATCTCCTATTGACCTATCAGTTTGCTTGTAGCTGTACATGACTGACAACAGTTTCTACTTTACAAGGTGTAGGAATATTGTTTATCTAGGACAGATGTAACCCTTCATTTGTTATGAAGCAGACTGCAAATCCAGTTTTTAAAATTCAGATGAAAGTTTTCTATCATTATGAGTTGTTAAATTATCACTGACAATTTATTTGCATGTGTTACACCCTGTCATGAAAACCTTTTATGGGCAATTCTCATATATGATTTATTATAATTATTTACTGAATATGAGTAAAGATTAGTGGAGTTTTGACATTTGGTCAACATATGTACATAGATACATAGATACACAGACAGGGGAACTGTTAACATGCGTGAAAGGCCAAAGAAAACATTACACAGGCTGGAACAACTTTTCTTAGAAATAAGGTGAATATACAAAGAGTATGAAATTATACATGGTGTGCTGAAAACAAGTAGAAGAAGAAATGATTCTTTGGAAAGGTAGACACTGAACGGAAACTCAAAATAGTTTGGTGACCAATTGAGAAGAGAGGAAAAGACCCTGCTGTTGGGAAAGACTGAAGGCAAAAGGAGAAGGGGATGGCAGAGCAGGAGATGGTTAGATAGTGTCATTGATGCAGTGGGCATGAGTTTGGGCAGACTCTGGAAGACAGTGGAGGGCAGTGGAGGATTGGTGTGCTATGGTCAGTAGTGGGATTCAGCCAATTCGCACCACTTCAGCAGAACCGGTAGCTAATTTTTTGTTGCCCAGGCCCAGAATGGACTTCCGGAAGCAGCATCCACATAGAGAACCAGTTGTTCACATATTTGAATCCCACCACTGGCTATGGTCCATGGGATCGAGAAGAGTCAGAAGAGACTGAAAAACAACGATACCTCCAGGACCAGAGAAAATGTGTTTCTTAATATGGATATGATTACATGGACCCTGTTCTGATAAAAAAATTAAGAACAGTCTTGATCAGTGGTTCTCAACCTTTTTAATGCTGCGACCCCCAACTGGTCGTAAGTCGAGGACTAAACCGGTCGTAAGTTGAGGACTACCCAACCGGTCGTAAGTCGAGGACTTTCCCTGCCCGGGAGCGCCGCACATGCGTGGTTCCGCCCCCTGCGCCTGCTTGGCGACCCCCGTGAAATGGTCGATCGACCCCAAATGGGGTCACGACCCATAGGTTGAGAACCGCTGGTCTTGATGGATCAAGCTAGGGCTTAGCTTAGTCTGGCATCTTCTTCCTCTCAGAGGCTGTCCAGATGCCTTTGGGCTGTTCACAAGTAAGATATGGAGATATAATATCCATTGTTTCCCTGCAGTTAATATCTGAAGACAGGCTAACCCCCAACCTGAGGTATGAATTTATCTGATCCTATTTAAGTCCATCCTAATTACTGACTATCACTATGCTTTGGGCTAATGAATTTCACAGGCTTATGTCTTGCATTTGAGGGCCCCTGGCTGGCCTTTATGGGAACTAAAAACAATTAATGGGCCTTTGAGTCTCATCCAGCATTAAATTTTTTGTGCCTACTATTACTGCAAAAGCAAGCCCGTTCAAGCCTGAAGTATGGCAATGAATTCAGTTGTACGGAACGAAAAAGAAGAACTTTACTTCTATCAGCAGAGAGCTATACTGACAGAAATCCTGAAGTCTTTTTTTTTTTTTTCCAAATTGTTTAAGGGTTTCTGTTATGAAGTAGCAACACAATGTTTTAAAAAACTGTTAAGTATTTCTAAGGAACTGAACTGACATTTAACGTCTCCTATATGCTAAAATTAATTTATTTTTACATTACTGCAATTCATGTTCCAGTTTATCATTTAACGGTAAATAACATTAATTTCATGCTTGCATTCTTTTCCTTTTAAGTGAGCCAGAGGAGTGCAAGGTAAATTTTCACCTCAGTTAGTTAATTTACATCTGATTATTCATAAGGTTGAGACATCTGCCTTTGCATATAATGGAGTTGGGGGGGATTATAAGTTAAATTAAAGGGTATTAAAGTCCTTATTAATGTATACTGATAAAATGAGAGACTCATAGTGGAAGAGCTGATCCTAAAATTCTGATGCCATTCCAGGTTGTAACATAAAAAAAGATGCCATTACAAGTTACACACCATGTAAACAGCAACAGATCTTAATATTACCAAGACTGAGATAAAACAACCAGCTTCAATGCAGAAATTGTCATCCATAAATTTTTTAAAAAGTAGGATGGCTTTAGTTTACCTCATCTACAGACTGGGGCTGATAACCAGAAGGTCTTGAGGGAAAATGTTTGTGTTATTGACTACATCGCTATGGATGCTCCTGAACAATCACACCTTACAGGTAGTCCTTGACTTACGACCATTCATTCAATGACTGTTTGAAGTTACAACAGCCCATGGAAGAAAGTGTATATGACCAGTTCTCACACTTACAATTACTGCAGTGTCCCAAGGTCATGTGATCACCATTTTCAACCTTCTCAGAGGACTTCCAACAAGGGAAGTCAATGGAGAAGCTAATTTTGCTTAATAACTGTGGCAAAAAGGCCGTAAAATCAGGTGTAACTCACTTAATGCTTATCTCTTAGCAACAGAGGTTTTGGTCTCAACTGTGGACATTAATTGAGACTACGTTCAGGGATTTATGATAACACAAAGGTGCCCACTTATGCTGGCTTTTCATTTAAATCTTCCACGTTATATGAAAAGAACTACAGAAACAACAAGGAAAGTATGGGATATTGGAGTACAAAAACAGCCATATGGACTTAGTACTTTCCTTCCCCCTGTTTTTGCTTTGGATTTACTTAGGGCCAATATACACCTTCTTCATAGGTTTTTTTCAGCCTCTGTTTCTCAAGTGTGATACCTCTGCAGCCACAAAATCTCCCCTGAGTACAATACAGAAACCTAATCTGTTTGAGCCTTCTCTCCCTTTGGGGTCTGGAAAAGCAAGGGGACAAATTCTTTCAGGTCACAGTACAGAGAAGAGCAACAAAGATGATTAGGGGACTGGAGGCTAAAACATATAAGGAACAGTTGCTGGAATTGGGTATGTCTAGTTTAACGAAGAGAAGGACGAGGGGGGACATGATAGCAGTGTTCCAATATCTCAGGGGCTGCCACAAAGAAGAGGGAGTCAAGCTATTTTCCAAAGCACCTGAAGGCAGGACAAGAAGCAACGGGTGGAAGCTAACCAAAGAGAGAAGCACCCCTAGAACTAAGGAGAAACTTCCTGACAGTTAGAACAATTAACCAGTGGAACAACCTGCCTCCAGAAGCGGTGAATGCGCCAACATTGGAAGTTTTTAAGAAGAAACTGGACAGCCATTTGTCTGAAATGGTATAGGGTTTCCTGCCTCAGCAGGAGGTTGGACTAGATGACCTCCAAGGTCCCTTCCAACTTTATTATTATTATTATTATTATTATTATTTATATTAATTTAATGGAACAATTTTGATGTTCACTTTTTAATCACGGAAAGAGAACAGCTGTTTGAGTAAGCCCATGAATTAGCCAAATATAGCCAAATGTATTGAAACATAGCTTAAAAACTGAACAGACCAGTCCTCATCAATCTGCACCATTTAGAAATCATCTAGGCCAGTGGTGTCAAACTGGCGGCCCGCAAGCTGGATGCCATGCCCACCCCAGCTCCGCAAAGGCAAAAAACACTGTGATACTTCACATTACACCACATGACGCGATCAAGTTTGAATCCGTGATTTAGGTTAAAGACCAAACAGAAGTAAGCACACCTGATTGCAAAGACAGGAGCCCAGTCAATCTCTGCTCAGTTGCCTATGGTCTACATAGCAGACCACCTTTCTCTTGAAAATGCCAGCACAATTGGGTAATCTGTTGTCTAGACTCTAGGCAATGGTCACTAAATTCTGAAGCCCAACACTGCCCAGCTAAACAGTTATAATTCAACATGCTTGGCTTACATCTACTGTCCTAGGCAGAAAAACTTGACAAAGTTAGGTCCTTCTAGCTACATCTAAATATGTTTACATCTAAATATTTGTCAACATTGTCTAAACCTGTTGCAATTGCAGCTTTCAAAATTCCTGGTCAGCAAGAAAGTGGCATACTGGTGAATATTGACATAGACCATAATGACATTTTTTTATTTAATAATCTGACATTTTGGTCAAGGTCACAGGTGATTTGAGGGCTGGCAACTGTATTACACTACTTTATTTTCCCATATTGCTATGAAAATGGAAGAGTTCAATTAGCACAACAGTAAAGAAAAAGTTTATACATCCCTTGCCTCAAAACTACAATTTTGTCAAAATGAAAGCATTTCCCTTTGTTTCTAGATTGTTCAATTTCTATAGGAAATCTGATCTTAAAATGTCCTGTACCACGACTGCTTGGCCAGGGATATTGATTTAGCTGATACCACATGTATGATTGCCATTTTTCAGACTTCAGTCTCTACTAGGGCCA